CGGCAGATCTACTCCCCTAATAAAGGCTTGTTGTGGCCGTGTGTGCTTGGTCTCTTCGGCTTTTACCTGACAGTGTCCATTTTACCATAATTTTTTTTTTCACTTTTTTGAGACAGGGTCTCAGGCTGGCCTTCAACTCTTAGTGCCCCCCCCCCCACCCAGTGCTAGGATTACAGGTGTGTGCCACCACAATTTTTTAAAAAACAATGTTTCCTTTGGAGGCATGGGATGACGGGTGGGAGGGAAAGAGAACTTCTGCTTTTTGTTTAAAAACCTTTTTCTAACTTTTTGGGTTTTTTTTTGGGGGGGGGCTTCACACTAAGCTACATCCCCAGCGCTTTTGTTTTTGTTTTTGAAACAGGGTCTCACTAAATCCCTAAGTTGCCCAGGCTGGACTCAAACTCAAGATCTTCCTGCCCCAGCTTTCCAGAGTGCTAGCATTATAAACATGCACCAATATACCTGACTGCCTCATTTTATTTTCTAAAATCGCAAACATGGATTTTGTTTTGTTTTTAGTAACTGGGATGAACGCAGGGCTGCACTCCTACTTTGCAAGGATTCTACCACTGAGCCCTGCGTGTTTTAATTTAGTACAGCTTTTTATTAACAGGCCTAAGAGACCCTCCTTCCTGGAGACATTAATCAGTTACAGGGACTGGTGTCTGATGAATTCCTCACTGTGAAGGTTCTCACTGTAGCCAGGCGTAGTGGCACACACCTGTAATTCCAACACTCAGAAGGCTGAGGCGGGAGGATCGATGTGAGTTGGAGGTCAGGATGGGCTACATATTGAGACTGTCTCAAAAGGAAAAGAAAGATCTCACTGTAGGAACAAAAGCAAAGGGGTTACTTGGTCTGGGAAGGCTCTGGGCCACTACCTTTTTGTGAATGACCTTGAACAAATCTTTTCTTGGTGTAGATTTTCATAGTTCTCTGCTTAAAAGTGGAGAGTGAAAAACGGCCCCTTGAAAGATGTGTCCTCACCGAGGGCCTGGTAGCCTGCTCACAGGAAGGAGGGGGTGGTAGCCATAGTAATGCTCTTCCCAGTGTGTGGGAGGGGCCCTGGGTTCCTGCCCCAGCTCCCCGAAGAGGAGGGGGCACGAGTAGCTTTGTACAGAGAGGGGAGGGGACAGGAGACACAGGAGCAGGGAGTTTTAATCTTTTTGGGGCGCGTGGGTTAATCTTGAAGATGTTTAAGAGATCTGGAGAATATCCCCCTTATACTGCCAGTCAGGCCTGCAGATCCAGTAGCAGTGTCAAAGGTGGACCCAAGCTTCGAAAAAAACAGATAAACAAGCTGCTACAAGCTGTTCTGAAAACGGATGTTTCTGATTTTCAAACTGAAAGTGAAAATAGGGAACTGGCTCTGAACTACTGTGTAGAGTAAAACAGTTTGGTCACAACAAACGACACAGGGACATAGACCAGGCAGATATGATC